CTGCACGGACTCAGGCGTGACCTCAAACTTGTGCGTCTGGGGAAGCAGTGTGCATCTCATGTCAAAGAGAAGCCTCTGTGGCAAGCTTTTGTTTTCTGCTTTTTCAAGAAAACGTGCAAACTGCTCTCTGCTAGGCCTGAAAACCTCGTGAGACCCCTCAGGGGCTGCACTTGTCGTGGCGAAACCACTTCCCAACATTGCCAAGTCGTTGGTTCTTGTTCTGTTTCATCGACACATCTCGCAAATGGGCAAAAACACTCTCCATCACATCTTTGGTCGTCGAAGTCGACCGGAACAAATCACGGGCCAGCTTGATGCACTTCTCGTCGTTTGGGCTGAAGTTGGCTTGAAGCATCAGGAAAACCATGATGACAGCCATTTGACACTTGGGCCACCCCAGGTCCATCACAGCTTCCTTCAACTTGTCGTTTTTCTCGCGGGCCAGCACCTCGTGGGCCTTGAGCACAGAAGAAACCAATAACTTTACTCTGCTGATTTCCTCTGTTCTCTCCCTTTCAGGAAGCAAGAAGACTGCGAAGCAATGTGGCAAACACCAAGAGAACATGGCGTGGGTGCAAATATATTGGGACACGGTTTCGAGACCCAACAGCCACATGTCCTGGATGATCTTTTTCTCCTCTTCCATAAGTCCATCAGGCTGGTCTGGAGGTCGGTTGAAAGCACCATTTCCTGTCGGCACTGCGCAGCGAAGCCGCCGATAAAGGCCTGAAGTTTGGAGAACATCGAGCACATTCTGGACTGTGAGTTTCCAATGGCGACGGCCTTGAGCCCTTGCAGCGCTCCAAGCTAACTGGGACTCTTCTCCACCTTGAAAAGCTTTCAAATCATCTGAATATTCTTTTCCAAGCGGGCCAGTAAGTTCCAGGATTAATACCCCTTTCAATTGAAGGTGCTCGTCCTCTGCGAAGGCTCTTGCCATTGCAACGGGTCCTTTTCCACCGTAGACCCTGTAAAGGTCTCCCTTCGTCTTGACTTCAGCGGCACCCTCCGGTTCTGCCATCATTCCTTCTCTCTCATCTTGTCCCTGTCCTGCAGCATCATCATCATCTTCCATTGACGCGTCCAATTCCTCCATGGCAGCAAGACTGATTCAAAACTACCAAGTGGCCTGTTAATAAGGGTTTATTAAGCTTGAAAGTTCCCCTTGCTTTTTGTGATTTCTAATCGCACCGAAGGATGCATATTTTTCCTTCCAAGATTCCATGGGTTTAATCTGGTTTAATAGGGGCCGGCCCAAAATGTCACTGGTATTACCAGGATGCCAAAAGGAAAAGTGCTGGAAAACAAGCTTTTCAAGCAGGGCGATCAATGCAAAGAAAAGTTTTTTCCCACTGTGCAAACATTCTGGCAAACAACTAATAGGCATAGTCTTGCTTGTACCCTTACGTCAATTTTATTCTGCAACTTCCGCCCCCAGCTCGCACTGGTACAGAATTGTATGTTAACACCTTGCTAACCGATTATTATCACCTTATTTGTCCCTTATTTGCCCCTTATTAACCCCTTATTAGCCCCTTTATTATTGACCATTGTTGGTGGAAGGATGCCTTTCTGACCATGGAATCCGTGATCAGAAACCATACCTGTTCCAGGAGTTCAAGATAGGGGGTCCAAACGGAGACCCAAACAGGGCAACTCTCACTATCACTGGTTTTGGGGTTGCACAAAAGAAGTCCCAAAGAGTGGTGCAAAACATTGGACCGAAGCAGTGGTGGAACTTGATTAAACACATTGAACCCACGTTTCCAGATTTGAATCCAAAAACGAAAATATGATTCCACGGGGAAGAGTCAGAGTGTAATGTGGCCAAGATTGAAAACGCAACTTTGTCCTTGAAACTGCTTTGTATGGAAACAAACCAACTTATTAGCTCATTATTAGCATTGTATTATCGGTTGGAGGGTTGCCTTTCCGACCATCCAATCCAGAGCTATTCCTGGGCGGTGGAAAGACCCCAGCAGTAACAGAGACCTTAAAATGGACCGCGCTTGGGGTATACTAAAGATGGTTTATATAATGTGCAGATCGAATATAATGTATATATATAGATAGGTAGATAGATAGATAGATAGATACAGTTACACATCCGTGTGCATCTGTATTAAATACATGTTCTTTATTTATAGTGTATATATATATACAATGCATCCTGTCCAGCCAATCCAATATTAAGTGGTTTGTCCCTGTCCTGCATCGCCGTCAGCGCCTGCTGGATGATGGTCCAATCGCGCAGGAGCGCTCTGAGCGCAGTGTGCAGCTTAAACCAGCCCTTCTCTCGTACGAAGGTCCCCCTTAGTCTAATTGAATCAGATGAAATGAAATCTTCGGCGGCAAGCCGCACATTGTCTGAGTCCATTTCCTCGTCCCGATCGAAGCACACAGATTCCGCCAACTCAGTGAAAAAGGCAGGTCCCTGCCTAGACAAGAAAAGTTCGAAGAATTCTCTGCGTTTCAGGCCCTTCTCCCCCGTTAAATACGTGCCGTGAGCGAAGTTGCCTCTGGTCGGGGGCTTCAAACCAACCCCCTCGAACAGTCACACATAGTAGCTTATTATAGTTGGTGGTTATTACCAGCTTAATAACAGCTTATTACTATTTCTACTCCTTTTTGGGGGCGTTTACTGTACATTTTAATATGTTTGGTGTTCAATATGCCTTGCAAAAAATACACACCAAGACAAATCTTACAAGTCGTAAGGGAAGCAAGCTTCAGAGAATGCATAACTTCATCATGGGGATCTTGAAACCACTCCACTTCATCGCCCTTTTAAAGGAATTCCATTTCTGATGCGCGCAATCGGGCTCCACCACCAAGTGGAGGTGGACTACCTCCGACAAAAAGTTGAGTCCCTTCCCCTGGCTGGATTCTTCATCGACCACCTTGAATGTGCGAACCCAAGGGTCAACCCTGAAACTTTTTACACCCCAGGAAAATTACCCCAAAACTACGATGATGATAGTCCGCCCCGACACTTGGGTTTGCTACTGTATCATTGCGTCGACAAGGTAGTTCATACCGTTTGATAATGGTACAAGAACTAAGACTATTAACTATTAACCCATTAATAACCCCTTATGACATGATTAGTTCTAGAAAATGTGTTGTTGCTGGATTGGCACAACAAGGAACACACCTGATAAACGGCAGGGATTCCACATCAATTGGAACGTTTGCATAGTCGTCCGTGATGGTCAGAGGCTTCTCTGGGCACCATGCGTCATAGGTTCGGTCCGTCATCGTAAACAAGATGTGGTTCAGTGCGCGGATCATGACCTCGGCGTATATGGTTCTGGAAAACCAAAAGGAAGGAATCAGTCAGACTTATATAAGCCAGAAGGATCCTCATGTGTTTTTTGCCCTGGATACCCACTAATAGGTGCTTATTAACCATCTATTATTACTGGGGGTCCCTTTTGTACAGTTGATTGAATCCCGATGACAGATACTGCCTCTTCGATTCATTCGGGTAGCTTGTGAAAATTGGAAGCGGATTCCAATGCCAATGAAACTCTTCTGACCAAATTGCCTCTTGGAAGGGTCACCGTGGATTGCATTTTTTGACAAATAGTCTGGATCTACATTTCGAATGTGGTTCAACAATGCAGATTCAACCAACCCCCTCAAAAATACCTCCCCCACAACTAATGGTTAATAAGCCCTTATTAGTGTCTCTTGGTGGTCAAGAAGCCAGTGGTAGGCTCTTATTGTTGGTAGGTCACCTTTGGGTGGGTTGGTTGAACTCGCATGTAACAGGATCATGTGGGGGAGTCTTGGGAACCCTAGTACCGGAATAGGAAGAAAATGCTACCAGATGGCTGTTAAATTGTGAATTACCATTGTTGTTACGATTGAAATAGTTGGTTCAAATCACCTCCTTTTGCCCAAAAGTTTTTTTGTCCAAAGTTTCGCTCAACGCCGTTCACCTCGCTTTCAAGTTTTGTATCGAGGACAAGCGAAAAATGTTTCGGTCTGTCGATGGGATCCCCCAACTTGTGAGTTGCTGAAAGTCGGGATTTTAATTTCAAGCCTACATTTAATGTCGAAACCGAAACACTTCTGACAAGTGAGTGATTTTTGTGGTGCATGAAACGTATGGCGTGGCAGCAAGCGCCCGGTAGCAGTGTAGCGCGTATGCCAGACTGCAGGTCACATGGGTTACAGCAGAAACCTCTATCTTTGATTCTTTTGATTCAGAAATTGTTTCACTGATGGACGGTCTGGTATGGCGCCACTTGATTCAAAAGGGGTCCTCAGTATGCCTCATCTTTCGCTTCGTCCCAATACGGGCAACTCCTGCCACGTGTCAACCACACTTTGACATGTTCAAGTTTTTGAAGTATGATTATTGGAGGTACTTTGGAAAATACCGATTGAAACTCGCTTGTTGATGATTAATAATCCCTTAATAACCTTTAATTATCAACTTCGCACAGGCGCCAACCATTTCCATCACATTTCGCATTTAAAAACAACTAGGAATGGAAGTAAGTAATTAAGGGGTTCTTCATTTATAGCCATCGCAGCTGCTCACCCAGACATGACCCCTAAACGAGTAATAAACCTTTAATAGTGGTCAGTGGTGGTGGTTTTCTTCATATTTGTTAGTTTTGATGAAAAAATAGATCGTTTACAAGACGGCTGGTAGCCGCTACTCACTACTAAATAATGATCTGTTGATAACTATGTGTTGGGGGCCGCTTTGATGTGGGCAGCTGTATTTTGCATTGATGTGATGGAATTTGAGAAAGCCTGTGCTTCTAGAATTTCCAAAAAAGCACACATTCAACCCCCGAGCTCCAAGCACCAAGCAGTTCCGCACCGTCCGTCCTTGTGGCAAACCACGACTTTCAGAGTGGTTCTGAGAAGCCTCATTGACAGCATTGAAATTTAAAAGCCATTTGAAAACTTGAAAATACGGGTTGGCAGTCATTAACTTCAGCCTTGTCCTTGAACCTCCTGATGCATTGAGTCATGTTAGCTCATGGCTCCTGGCTGTGGCATTGTGATTTCAACTGTGTCACTTCTAGAAGCCGAGGGGCAGAATCGCGCCATTGTCCGCTTCTGCTTGCAATCATGAGATCTTGGCAGTAACTGGGGCCGGTGTTCTTGCCCATAATGACATCCTCTCCGTTACTATCTTGGTATAGCTCGTATTCATCATCCACCAATTCCAACCCGAAAGAATGGTCTGGGTGCTGCAGAACCCACGGACGAATTGACTGTGGTTGAAAAGTCAACTCATAGCCTGATGAGGGGAATGTCTGAGGAATAGCGGAAACATGGGTATCAGGTTTTGGTTTGGGCGCCTTTCTCATCACCACTGGTTGTGATGGGGTAGTGGGCATGGAAGGCTTGAATGCTTCCCAGTCAACGACTTGGCTGGGCATGGGAGCCGGTGTGGACCCCTTGGCCTTAGGCAATTCTGCGGCTTTTGCTCCCAAGTCTGTGTTTGGCCCAGCTGTTCCTACTTTCCATTTCATGAATCGAATGATTTCAACTGCTGACCATTTGGTAGCTCGTGCAGGTCTCCCCCTGCTCTTGTATTCTACTGCAGCAGCCTCCACGAGATCCTCCTGCTTGGTCATGTTCCTTACTTTTGCTGCCACGTGGAGGCGGATCTCGACATGTTGGCCTTTTGGAAGGGAATCAAAATGCTGCCAAACAATAGTTAGTAATATTAACCTCTTAATAAGCCCTTATGAATGCCTCGGAATCTTCATCCAAGATTTGTGGGGTGAAATTATTGAAATTTTATTATCTTCATTATATTTGGGTTTGCTGCTATTCTTTTAATGTCCCACAACCTCGGTGTCTCGGACTGTATTAATGTCCCACAATCAATAAGAGCGAGCTTGAATCTAAAAGTCCGCTAGCCCATGAAACAAAAAGGAATTAATTCAACAATCATCAAAGGGATACATTACGAATACAACCATAAAGGCTTATTAAGTGCTTATTATCCAATACCCAACCACTAATAGAAGCCTATTAGCCATCTATTACTGGTGGATCACTTTTGGGAGGTTGGTTGAACACCCATAAAAAGCTAGTACTGCACCCTTCTACTTTGAAGTTACTGATTGTAACACTTCATCCGCATAGCTTCCGAAAACCGGAAGGGCGATCCAAAAACAGAACATGTTATCGTATGCTTCAGAGGCCATGCGCACCAACAGGTATTTACTAAGCCCTTGTGTGGTGATTCAAAGCCTTTAGGCAAGCTTGGCGGTTTGGGGTTTGACCTCCACTGGAACCATTTTGGATCCTCACAAACAAGAGTTACCACCAATCCTTTCCGGAATCAATTTGCAGGGGGAACGACTTTAGTTACTTAGTTAGGCCAGCCCTGGGATGCATTGGAGATGCATGATTTTGGGTGTTAATAAGCCACTAATAACAGATGTTGGGGTCACTGGATTGGCTACGATTTTGACGCTGGGGGACACCTGGACCAAAAACCATCGCTGAGCGGCTGTGGAGTTGTGGCGAACGGAGCCCACCCAGTTGCAAATGCGACCAAAAGGGCTAAGTCCTGACGCGTCAGCTTCAACTGGTCACTGTCCTTCAAGATGTTCGGGTCTGCTCCATCAAGCCACTGTGCCCATTGTTGGTTCTCAGCTGGCTGACAGAAAATGAAACAGCGGGGCATTACTGATGTAATTGATGATGCTCTTGTTGGCTATGCAGCAATGCAATTTGTAGCCCCCCCCAAAAAGGTCAGATAGGTGGGATAAGCTGACACAGCTGCCGAACATGTTATAGGAACCCCAATGGTGACAAACCAGTGTTGGGAGCAGCATGCGGAATCCAATGTCTTCCAATACCCTTCCAGACGTCAAGCCAAGTGGCATCAAAAGAGTCGATTCGGGTTCCGCGAGAGGAGCCCTTCGGCGGCATTTTGGACCTTGGCGATCCCGCCCGTGCCCATGTTCATTTATGATGCAAACAACGTAACATGTTATTTATATATTTTGTATATATAAATATATATATAAATATATAATAGAATCCAGAGGATTTGAAACAAAGAATCTAACAATCATCATAGGGATGCAACCCACTCCCAAGAGGTGACCCCACAAACAATAATAATCATGAAATAATGGCTTATTAACTGCTTATTAACCATTTGACAACCACTAATAATAAGTTTTTATTAACCATCTATTACTCGGGGTCACTTTTGGGTGGTTTGAATCCCTACGGGCACAAGTCTCTTGACTCAGCTCGATTCTTGCATTAAACATCTGTAGCTGTTACGGGTTGAATCAAGTTGGGGGCCGCCAAAAGCCAGCTACAATCCATTACCAGGCAGAAAAGACCAGCAGGAATTAGATTCCATTCAGCTAACCCACAATTGTTGGAATAGGAGGGAATATATGACGGAATCCAATGTAACATGGGCAGAAACCACATCATATATAATTAGTACTGGGCCATAATAATAGCTATTTTTTGTACCTATTATCTCGTCGGAAGTAGGAACGTAATAAGTGCGTATTCATAGCTTATTGCCCAGCCACCACCAATAATAACGCGTATTACCCATCTATTATTGTTGGGGAAATGGTTTAGCAGCAACTTCTTCCGGTGTAATAAATATGTGTTAAATATATGAGCCACCAGCGCAAGGTTTCATCATCAGGATTTTTCTGACCCAAAAAAATAGCGACCAACCCCGGACCTTTTGCAGCCAGGCCACTGAAATCCAGATTTACGCAGCAAGCCCCCGAGCGATAGAAACAATGATGCTGCGGGAAATGGGGAGGTATGTGTTCAATATGAATCATGGCCTTTATTACCCATCTATTAACCCATCTATTAAAAACCGGGAAAAATAATTGGGCCCCGGCCCGACAGCTCCCAGAATTTTACACTGCCAATGGAATGAGTGGGTTGCAAAGCCAGACCAACCACTAAATAAGGGCCTATTACATCTGTTATCTGTTGCATGGATCTCAACGACATTATAGTGGTGGATGCTTTTGCGCCTAGCGCGCATGACCTAGAAAAAAACATGTGCAATTCATCATATATATCTTAACTAGTTAAATCCAAATTCTGAAACTATCGGGGTACACATAAGTTCGCATTTGGGTGGTTTTTATTCATGATTTTTCTACTGTTTGCTACGTTGCCACCAAAAGGATGAGGGAACACCAAGCATTCCTCTAAAGATTTTTTTTTTTGGTGGGGGGCTAGCGCTCCCTCGCCGCCACCTGCTCTTCCAAAACAGTGGGGATCCACACGTGGAACGCTTTCCCTTCTTGCCCAGAAAGCCGTGTCCTACCAGCAAATGCGAGCCATATCGATGCACAATGAAATGCTTCAACCAACCCACAAAAGGTGTGATACCCCAGCAAAGGGTTATTAAATGCTTATTAGCCGTTATCGGCAGCCAATGATAGGGGGCTTTATTAACAATCTGACAATCTATTGTTTTTGATGGCCACTCACTGGAATCAGCGGGCAGCGGGCTCCTGAACACAGAGGTTTTCTGCAGGCAATCCCAGCTCGTACCTTTTTTCACCTTGGCGAGACTTGAGACCCTTTGAATCGACGATAATTAGTTTGGACGATAATTTTGGGGCTCACAACAGGGTCTTGGTTTATTTGCAGCAGAATCGAAAATTCCAGTGGTTTTCGAACATGATTCCCAAATCAGACAGTGGTATATTATTATACTATTAATAACGAAGGAGTTCGAATTTAATTTGACCATTGACTCCCCGTTCCCACAAAAGCGACCGAATGCAATGCGAACAGTTTGCACGCTGCGTGGCGGTCTCGACAGTCCGAAGGCCGGGTGGCCATGTTTCTCAAGGAATCACATCCGTCACCGGACTCCTGACTATGACTTATGACTCAATGACTATTCTAAAATGGTAATTACATAATTCTGATTCTATTGCGAAAAGTATTGACAAACTTGGAAGCTACGATGGTGAAGTCAGGTTTCCCAGGCTGCCAAAGGTTTCATGACTAATTCAACTTTTCGTGGTGCACGGAAGTGTTTGCCCACTAAGCTGCCTCGAGTCAGCAACAACATTTAGTTGAAGGTAAAGTGATGGTATGACCCCTTCTGCGAGTAAAGTGAACTAGATACCGGCAACTGTTTGGCAAACTCCAGCGATCTGATTTGCGGCTGCCTCCCCAGGAACCATGCGTGTTTTGATTTTTGACCATGGGTTGTGGATAGTAATCGTAGTGGTTAATAACCCCTTATTAACCCTGCATTAAACAACAGTCATGTCAAATAAAGGTTAGCAAGTACATCAAAAAAAAACTTAGGAGGCTTAGGCGGCCATTGAAAGGCTTATGGCAAGATTGCCACCAAATGCTGGTGGTCTGATGAAACCCGGAGCCTCAGCGACTCAGCAATGCACAGACTCAGGCGTGGAATCTGTCAATGCAGCGCTCAAAGCACTGCTCGTTTCCGATTTCCTGCAGAGCTGCTCCTGTGCACGTGAAACGTATGAAAAAAGTGTGTGGATGCTGGTTTCCAAAATTGATTTCAATCATGGGCTGCGGGGCCTGTGCAGTCATTGATTCCGTAGATTACCAAAGAACCCCAAACAATCAATTGATCTGATTGTTGCTTTTGCGAATCCTTGAATCAGTAAAGGTTCCCTATAATAGCCGGGGGTATCGAATACAGTACACCTGTCATATGCCTTGGGAATCATTCAGCAGCGTATTGTTTGGGGGTCATCTGTGACTTGAAAAGCCATGTCCAACAAAGAATCAGAAACATTTGGCTGGTAAGGTTAGAATGCTGAAACCCTATTATTCGTTTAATAGCTGCTTATTTGGGGCAGTTTGGACTTGAAGGGTTGAAAGATTAGATGCCAATTCGAGCCTGGGCCATGAATCCAGGTGATCTGCGGAAACTCTCAGTTGTCATTCTCCTGCGAAGTAGCCACTGCGGATGAATTCAAACAAATCTCAGGGTGAACTAAAAGGTTCCAAAAAGTTCTATAGACGACATTTTAAATGACCCCACACATTTGATGGTTGCTGATGCGAATTCCAAATGAACCTTTTAATAGTCAGTTAATAACCACTTATTATATAGATTTCTTAGCGTCAATCGTAACCCTGGAGTCTCAAATATGCGCAACAAATGCCACCAAACAAAGGGCTGCTACTGTCAGGAACCCTGGTTGTTATTCATGATTTTGAAACCTTTTTCGTATAATTCCTAGTCACTAGTCATTTCATAACCCGAATATAAACAAATCTGAATATATCTGAATAATATTCATTTCACAACCTCGTCGTATTGTTTGGGGTCAGCTTGGAATTGAATGGCTGGATGGATTCTTGGACATGAATGGGCAATCAAACTGTCTAACCTTCCCCCCACCCAACCACTGTCTTGCCTCTTCATTGGCCTCTTCATTGTCATCGGCCTCTTCATTGGCCTCTTCTTCCTTCTCATCATCCTTTGTCTCTTCAATCTCCTCCTCCAATCCTTTTGCATCAGTGGGCCGTGGCTCCTCTGCTTCAGCATTTTGATCCTCAAGACCCTCCGTCTTCTCGTCCCCGGTGCCCGGAATGGCCCCCATGGCTCTGAAGGGGCTGGCGTGTGTCTTTGGGCTTGGGGTTGTCTTAGGTGTCCTTCGTACGAGCTGCTTCGGTGTGTGCGGCGTGCCTGGGGGCAGCACGGCTGTGGATGGGTTCTGGCTCTTGAGTGCGGCGATCTGGCCCTGCACTTCCGTGCTCTTTGATGCCTCCTGCGCACGACGACTCGATGCCAGCATGTGACTCCAGTATGGCGTAACTCCATACCCATGACTGGCACTGTCCACCACGTACCCCCTCAGTTGTCCATCCACGAAGGAAGGGGTAATGTGGTAGTCTGGACAACCCTTTTTCAAGGGAATGAACACCTCCTTCACCGGATCGACCATCACTGTCCCAAACTTCCCGCCAAGCTCTTGCAGAAAGGGGCGTTCCCAAATGGGTGGCTCAGGCGGGGCGGCCATCTCCACCGTCTCCGGAGTGTCCTCCAAAGCTTCCCCATCAAGCGCTTCTTCTTCTGATTCCTGGTGCAGATTGATGGATATCCGTCCCCAGATTGCTGAAGAAAAACAATCATCCTGTTGCAGGGCCGGTTCCATAATGTTGACACAAATAAATAGTTAATAGCTGCTTATTAGTATTCTATTGTGTGTCGGGTTACTTTTGCAAAATCTTTCAAGACTGCTAGGTCATGAGGATCCTGATGGGGATTCAACCACCTTTGGTGACCCAATGGGGTATGAAGGGAAAATCGAAGCTTATTAAGGGCTTATTATTGACGGGGTGCCACCTATATTCGTGATGTTCGGGTTTCATTTTTTGGCCGTCCATCCCAGCCACAGTGTCCAGTCCTCATGCTCGGTCGAAAGCACATCATCAGGATCCCCATCTTCCTCAACATGCCGGCGACATGGCTCATCGAAAAAAACTGAAACCCAAAAAGTGCCCCTTAAAAGTCTTCCGCTGACACATTTGTAAGCCCGTGTAAGCAATCAAGAAGGATACAGTTTGTCTCCGCGTCAATGGACAAAATTTCTCTCAGCCCCCTGCAAAAAAGTGTCACCTTCAGCAGGATTAGGGGAAGGACATATTGTACCATCACAGCCACTCTCCTTAATTATATAATTGCCCGTGGCTTAATTAATGGCCCTTATCTATTGCAAAACCACGTTGAAAATCCAGGGCCCCTGACTGGCACTCGCTCATCGCCATCCTTCTGATCATCAAGAGTCTCAAGAGATGGCGCTGCACTGGCTGCTTGGGTCATCCCTCTCATGGCCTGTACTGGCCGTGAAGCCATGGGCATCATACTGGGTTTGGTGCTTTTCTGTTGACTGGCTCGGAAGTCTTCAAACAAAGTCTGGCAGTAGTAGGGAGCCAAGTCCCCACCACCCCACACCACCTCGTTACTTCCACTCTCATCCAAGTAGATTTTTGGTTTCGCCTTCGTGGAGGTCTCAACCGGAACCTTCTGCTCCATGTCCGCGTGCATGAGAAACCATGTCTTCTTGGTTTTGTCCCACTCGGCTTTGTACCCCTGTGTCGGGATGATGCTCGGAAGGGTCTCAGGCTCAGATCTGCGGCTTTTGGCCTTCCTCTCAGTCTCAGCTGGGGGTGGGGGAGGATGTCTCTTCGCAGTGCTGGGGTTCTTCCTCTGCTCCTTTTCCCACTCAAGAACAGGGACGGGGAATGGGGCTGGTGTGATGCCCATGGACCTTGGTAGCCTGTGGGCAAAAACCCCAATGTCGTCATGTGGCTGGAGCTTGCTCAACCGGTGCTTCATGAACAAGCAAATCTCCCCAGGGGTCCATCTGGTTGATTTGGCTGGTTCCCCTCTCCTCAAATATTCATTCCTGGCTGTGGTCTTGAACAAATCCGGATCTTTCGTCAGTCCCGGCATTAAAACTTCGAGTCCGCACCCTTTGAGTGATGGAACTAGATCCTGGCTAATAGACACCTAATAGCCTCTTATTATCTTGATACACACTATATTACAGTATATAATATATTTTGTTTGATCTTTGCCTTTGGGAAACAGTATCATTTTCGCACCTTTCCTTTTAAAGCCATTGAAACCTTTCAGTAAGTGACATCCAGTTAGGGACCTATTCAAATTGCAAAATTGTTGATACCCTCTGGGGGACCCATCCTGATTTCCGCAAGCGCACCAGCCAAATTAAATTTGTGGGGGAAAGCACCAAAGGAATCTCCTCAGCCTTTTGCTTGGACTAGCATATCAAATGCTAGAATCTACAGCTCCCAAATAGATACCACTCAAACCATGTGATCTGAATTCCCAATCCTTTCAATATTGAACACGAGCACATTTTAACAATTTGTTTAGACAAAGGGCTGAACAGGGATATAGTCTGGACCCCATCCGAAGGCAAAACCCACGAGCAACATCAAGTGTGGGCGGTCGAGATCCTTGGTCACATCCATTCCCAGGAACGTCGGGTCTGCAATGTCCAGCCACTCGATCAGGTGGTGGTTCTTAGTTCGATGCTGGTAGGCAGAAAATTGCCCCATGTTCCTGTGCTCTGAAAAAAGCCCGCTCTTTCACACAGGGACCGATGAAAAAAAAAACTTGTAATAGCTGCTTATTTGCCACTCTCTCCGATTTGTCTTTTATTAGCTGAATTGGCCTGATTTGCTATCTGAATCTAGTACATTGCAATATATCACGAAACTGCAGTCGAGATCGCCCATAATTTCTTGATGATGGTTAATAGCCCCTTATTAGTGGTCAGTAATGGTAAATAAACCCCGAATATGCACTTATTAATGTGGGGGGTGTTCTTATCCCAGGTATCAAATCAATTACATCAACTCTCTCCGATTTGTCTTTTATTAGCTGAATTGGCTTGATTTGCTATCTGAATCCAGTACGTTGCAATATATCACGAAATTTGAGTCGAGGGTGTACTTCTTAAGTTGGGAAACCCAGTCCAGGTCGGAATCGCCCATAATTCCTTGATGATGGTTAATAAACCTTTATTAGTGGTCAGTGATGGTAAATAAACCCCGAATATGCATTTATTATTTGGGAGGTGTTCTTATCTCAGGTACCAAATCAATTACATCAACTCTCTCCGATTTGTCTTTTATTAGCTGAGTTGGCCTGATTTACTATCTGAATCTAGTACATTGCAATATATATCACGAAATTTTAGTCGAGGGTGTAATTCTTAAGTTGGGAAACCCAGTCCAGGTCGGGATCGCCCAAAAATCTGCATGATAGCTAATAACCCCTTATTAGTGGTCAGTGATGGTAAATAAACCCCGAATCTGCACCTATTATTTGGGGGGTGTTCTAATCCCAAGTTTCAAATCAATTACATCAACTCTCTCCCATTTTTTTTAACTGAGTTGGCTTGATTTGCTATCTGAATCCAGTACATGAAGTTGGGAAACCCAGTCCAGATCGGAATCGCCCATAATTTCTTGATGATGGTTAATAAACCTTTATTAGTGGTCAGTGATGGTAAATAACCCCGAATCTGCACTTATTATTTGGGAGTTGTTCTATAATCCCAGGTTCAAATTTCAAATCAATTTTGTTCTGGATATTGTTCGGGCCAGCGGCCAACTGGACATGCCCCCGACAAAATATATTTGAACATAATATATTCAGTGTTTCTCGGTGCTGAGTTGACTGACAGGAAAATTTGGATTTGAATCCGTGACCCAAATCATGTTGAATCGCAGGCTGGGGTCGATAATTTTCTTGATTGGCCCCTTGAATGCTTCCGTAGCCCTACGTCTCCCTCTGGAGGGCAGCTTCTTCGCATCAGCGGCTTTTGGCACTGGCGTCGCCTTTGCTTTGGGAACGGTCCTATCTGGTGCCAGGCCCACAACGTATCCACCTGGCCACCTTAGCATGGTGGAAAGAACGGATAAGTGGATAAATTGATTGCACCCAGCAACATGAGCTCAATAAGAGGTTATTAACCTACTTCAATGCCACCTGTGATGGGATTTGCCAGGAACAGCCACCATGGCCAATGATTATGTTTTACATGCGAATCGTGGCAAGGATTGTGGTTATTATTGCGGTGACTTCAATCATGGTGCTCTTCTTTCTACTTCGCAATGGTAAATAAAATGTTGAAGGAGGTTGAGTCGAGATGATGTTTCTGACTTAGAAATTATGAACGGCAATTGAATACCATCTTTTGCCCCTATTCCATTCTTTGGGAGAAGGTAAACTTCGTCTGCCCAGTGACACAACAGTGTCTTGCGCGCCAGGCATGGATGATGTTGGGGAGAAAGGTTCAATTCCCTCAGGGCGTGTGGGTGGTGGGGCTTCCTTGGGTCTGTTGGCCTTCTTGACTTGTGCAGGCTTCGGCGCTGCCTTGGGGGGGGCCCCGTGCATCGGCAGAGGCAAGGAATATCCTCCACCGGTTTGAGCGGAAAGCTTGGACGTATTCGGCGCCATGACAGCTGCGGAAGCAAACTCCAAGACGCACGATCGAATTTTGAGATCACTGATCCACTGCTAGCGAAACGGACGCGCCGTTTGTGAATCACGGGACAGGCAAACTCACAATGCGATGCGTACTATAGTCAGCACTAGCAACTTATTTATATAAGGGCTTGCCTATGTTATCACGGGAATTCAACCAACCCTCCAAAAGAATGGCCTATTAAGGGCTTAATAAGCATCTATTTAATATGTGGGATAACCCTTGGCGGGTTGGTTGAATCCTGGCGGTGTTCTCCCCAAAAAAACGTAACCTGATCAATTCTGACAATTCCCGTGTTCAAGTCTCGTAGTGACTTACTTGGTGATCACTCATCACAAAAGCAAGTAAACAGGTAACTTATCACGGGAATTCAACCAACCCTCCAAAAGAATGGCCTATTAAAGGCTTAATAAGCATCTATTTAATATGGGGGATAACCCTTGGCGGGTTGGTTGAATCCTGGCGGTGTTCTCCCCAAAATACGTAACCTGATCAATTCTGACAATTCCTGTTTTCAAGTCTCGTTGTGACTTGGAGATCATTCATCACAAAAGCAGGCGACCAGGTAATCACTTTCCTCTTGCAACCCGACGGAAATAAAAACAGTGTGATTTTTTCCTCCATCGGGCCTTTGGACTGGCAGTCTGTCCGCTTGAATTTCCTGGGATTGCTTAAAGTGTTTCTCTTTACTGGGAAATCCATCATTGGGGAACCTATTGATTATTTTTGTGTTTTTTTTCATGTTTTAGAGCCCTTTAAGCAAATCCTTTGGTGAGACCTTTGTCAAGAAACAAGTTTGAAAGATGATAGCGCAACCATTTCAATCACACCCACCGATGCAAAATTCATACTGTTTCCCAAAATAGTGTTGGCTCTGGAGTTCTCCGTCACTGGGAGAATGCAAACGCCCATTGCCAAACTCTGGGCTTCCGTCACGGGGAACCCCAGGGAACTTAGCTTCTCCCGTGGCGTCAGCCATCGTTTGGAGCTGACGCTCCAAAATTTTCCGCAATTCCTGCGGAACGTCGGCAGCCGGCCAGAGCGTGCACTCCAGCAGCGTCGCTGCACGGAATCCCCCAGAAATATGAACAGATCTTGGTTTTCAGAAGGGTCCTGGCCGAACTCGTCCCTGAAAGTCTGACTCAAGGATTGGACCACCCCAAATTCCCGTTCGGTAAGCAAAGGAGACAAATCGATGGGCTGCCCAGGTTCCACCTGAGAATTTGAAGGCCCGAGGGCCCGAAGGTCCAACATGTGACAAGCTTTTGCTAGAATAACATGATTGATATATAGTGTTTGACTTAAAATTCATTCCAAACCAACCAAGAAACAGGCAACAATGTTGATATAAAGTGTTAATAGCTGCTTATTAGCACACTATTGTCTGTGGTTTCTTTTGGAAATGGGGATTCAAACCAACCCGCTCCAAAGTTTCAAAGGCGACCACCCCCCAAAAAATAGATGGTGAATAAGCCCTTATTAAGCTATTGGCTGGTGATCAATAAGCCAGGAGTTAAGAAGCCATGAATAGAGGGGCCTGGGCCGGACGCATTTTCCCACAGGATAATTTGAACAACAGATTCACAAAAATCGGTCCTATTTCAAGCCTTACCCAATGATTTTTAAGTACAAGGAACTGGTTCGAAAGTCTTCTTTTTCTTTGACTTTGAAGCATGGAGTTCTGCATCTCGCATGATTTCCCAATGCCCTGCGGATAAGTAGTCCGATGGTCTCGTATGGATGTGTTTTCGGATTGCCCTTGTAATCTTGGCGTACAAATCGTAAACGTTGCACAAAGGAACCACACGCTCCCGGTGAGCACAGATGATATATACTCTGGGTCTGCTTGCTCCCGCGTGCCCTTGATCTTGGACATCGAGATAAATTGGGTAAAGTTCGTAAACATCCCCATACAGAAGCTCAATCACCGTCATCTTCAACGCCTATGCAAAAAGGCAATGCAAAGCATGTGGGTCACTACTCATGACTGTTTTGTGAAGATTCTAATAACCTGTTATTAGCCATCTGTTTGGGAAATGGTGACATTTGAAACCGCCGGTAGTTCGGATAGAACATGTGGGCCAAGAAGCAACATTTCTTCTTGGGGTTCAACCCAACACCAACCAATAATGGTAAGCCCAAGTGTTGACGATGAAACGGCTATGAAAAAAGCGTTTACTAATGGGGGGACGCCTTTGGGAGGTGGTTGGATTCCCAAAACTTTTTGGTGGGATCACCCTTCTGACAAAACAACAGGCTTTGAAAATTGTTGCCTGAACGTTCTCAAGAATTAGGAGAGGAGTTCTCCGTTCTCTGTGGAGTTTGGCATGGCTCATAAATACGGAGCTAGTTTGGCCTTGTTCGGCCCGGCGATGGCCAGCTAGGGAGTAGTCCCAACAAGGCAATCCTGTAATGTCTAGCTCGCTTTCGGCTCCTGGTCCGAACACCGGGCACCAATTCTGATGAACAAAGCACCATTGCTTTGCCATCAGTTTGCTCCTGCCGATGTCCCGCAGCTTCTGTGCAAAGCTTTCTGCGGGATGGTATGTGTTGGGTGGCAAAATGCCTTCTATATTTCCGAACACGCAATGGGCGGGAAACCTGTTGCCTGTAACATCCGCCAGGCACTCTGAATGATCCCGAATGATCTGTCTGCACCTCGGGTCAATCTCCTTGGCTCTTTGAGACCCCAATAGGATCTTTTTCAAACCGTGTCAGAACCCTGACAAAGTTAATAACCCCTTAATAGCCCCTTATTGACAAATTGTGTGTATGAATGAGATCCACAAAAATTGACCAAGGCAATGTTGAAGAATCATGACTACTCTTCGGTACGAAAGACACCCTTCGACTGAGAAAGGCAGAATCATTGATAGTCTTCTCGACCACGCCCAAAGCTAGCTCAGCGGTGTAGGCCCCCGTGCAAGCGCTTGACACCCGCACCTCCTCCATAAGCATTGACTCCTGACGGCGCGATGGTCGGCGATTAGCTGTAATTATGGTTCCTTTGACGAAAAAGCGGCCTATAATATAGGGCCAAAAAATAAATGAGTTCTGGTTATTTTGCTATGTCAAATATCTGCTGTCACCAACGCTCATCCGGTGGCAATAAGAATTGAACAGATGGGTGGTTTATGTAATAAGATCCTGTTAATAGTCCCTTAATTATTGATCGATTGGCTGGTTGAATCACCACGATATCATCAACCTTATACAACAATCTGTTGCAGAGTTCCGGGATTCCTCCAGCAATTCCTTCTGGACACTGTTACGGACAGTCAGCCAAGCTAATTGGAAGCACCGGCCCGACTTCGCTAGCTCGCAAGAATCTCTCTTCAAATCCTGCGGCGGGTAAGGATTCAACCAGCCGCCCCAAAGGTGATGCCCCAATACTATTAGAGTATTAAAGGATTATTAACCACCACCCATCACTAATAAGGGTTTATTAACAATTTTCATGGTTGGGGGCGCCACTTGTGGGGGTGTGGTTGAGTCTCCAGGATGGATGGGTGGACACCAGAGGATGGGTTGAAACGACAGCGTTCCAAAAACAAATTGAGCCAGATTAGATCCTCCAGTGGCTCTGAGCTACATGAAGAACTTTGTGCGCAGGTTGGCACCGTTGATGAATTTTCGCTGACACATGTCACGCTTAAGGCTTCGCTATCGCTGTCACTTCCGCAGTCACTTTTGCTGCTATAGTGTGGCAAGGCCCTCTTCAATGAATTCGCGGCCATTGCGTCGCAGCAAGCAAGAAGCTGCAGTTTTCTTCTTGCAAACTCCACGAGTCACCGAATACAGGGCTAATAACCCTTTAATATGCTGCTAATAAGCTGTGGATCATGTTGAAAATTGACTGTGAGGGAGTTACTGGGATACCCACAGCAATTTTAAATTGTCATGTGTAGGCTAGGCATGGCTAGGCTGCTGCCATTTGAAATATGACGTCCTTTGAATCCATTAACAATGCTATCCACCGGATGTTGTTGCTTTGACAGCTGAACCTGTCGGCGCAGGCGGCATGTGGCATATTGACCTTTCCGCAGATCCATGACACTCTTTGATTGCACCTACACCCACATGTTCCATCCAGGGCATTTAAGAACAAACCCTTCAAACATCCCAGGGGAGATTGATTGGACGATTTTGCCTTGAAAGAATCCGGATCCGGGGTCTTCTTACTGAGGTCCCCAGCCAAAGGGGGTCCAAAGAAACCTTTCTTCAGCTCCGGTGAATACAAATGAAAGAGTTCAATGGGCGAACGACCCACAGAACTGCCATCGAAGTACGCCTCAGATCAGCTAGCCCCAGAAGAGCTTACACATCCTATGCAAGTTTTTAAGAATTTTGAAACCATGGAGATTCCCCCTAATCAACTTTTTGGGGTCGCTGGTTGGCATCCTGAAACGGGGAGCACGAGGGCAGATTCAGCTAGGCCGCCTGGATCACACGGACTGGTCGTAGTTGCTTGAGGGCAAGCTCCCAGTAGCAGCCCTTGGCAAGTGTTCGGTGGCAAGTGCTCGGGCCACCTTCAAACAACAAAAAGCATCCCAGGCCCCAATACACATGAAAGGGCTTGTAAATATCATTGACCAAAAAATGCTAAGGCTTATTAACCAGTTATTAAGCCCTTATTCGGTCAGGAGTGGACATGTGGTGATTTGGTTGTATATGACCGACGAGCAAGGTACGCAGGCCAGCTGCAGGAACCATTGAGTGTTGAACTCGGCATTCAGCTTCTGCATCGCCGAGCGAATCGTGTTTCCCACATTTGACATTTCCTTAAGTTTGGATGCAGCAGGCAAGAAGGGAACCTCTGTCTGTATAGCCATAACTCTTTGACAACATCTTTTTTTGGTGCGATTTTTGTTTCAACATAAAATTACAACAAACACTCCGTTCCCATCGCGCTGTGCCCCATGATTTTGAGATGTCGGGTGTCTTCATGGGGGCGCCATATCATCATTGCTGTTTCCAGAGCGGCTCTGTGGAAGTACTGTCTCCTTTCCGCTCGATTTCGACATACATCCAACGGTAGTACCCGTTGGGCCTGAGTTCGGCGCGTTTTTTTTGTTTGTGGTATTTCTGAAATCGGAAATTTTCAATAGTGGCTGGCTGGGTAAATTGTGATCCGGGCAATATACAAAGACCATATGAATGACAGTTAAAGGTTTGGACTTTGGACAACTGGCAACTGTTCCTAACTCCCCAAGGCTACGATATGCCGAGGTAGCTTAATGGTGGCCTAATAAAGGGTTATTAGCACTGCGCTCAAAGGGTAGCCTAATAAAGGGTTATTTGCATTGTATTAAAGCCATGAAACAGCATGAACAGGGAGTTCGCTTTGAAAGGCTGTCATTCCCTTTTTTGATAGACATGACATGCAGCTGCCAAACGAATTCCGAATGAAAGCTGAGCTACAGAAGCCACCGCTGCTTGGAACTGTTCATCCAGTATGCAAGCCAGCTGGGTCACAAGGCAATACGCCGTTTGCACCAAACCAGGTATGTGTCGGGCAGCTGGATTTGACGGGTCCATTGCGAACAAGATAAAATCCAGCAGCCCGGGTCTATCAAAATGTGATGAAACTGGAAAGTTCTGATTCCGAATGCGTGCTTCCCAAGTTGCCTTCAAAACGTGCAGTTTTACACTATCCTGAGGCCAAATGAAATATGCTGGTATTGTCAAAGATGCACTGACAGTGGCATTCGACCACGTGTTTTCATCAATCCGGGGCACACGAAGGCGCTGGGGTGGCAGCGATCCTAGCACCTTCGAAAACAATTTCGCAAAGGCTTGTCCTGCGACAAGTCTGTCCTGGCTCGTTCGTCTCCAGTAGGACAAACCCCAAACTAAATAGGATACAAACAAGGAAGTTGGAATGCATGTGGCGATGAACCAGGCTATGGACTCATTCGCAGGCTGTCGCATATAGTGGCTGGCTTTCTTGGATATGGCTCTTTGTGGGATGGACCATCCTGGCCACAAACGTGCATGAACTTCCTGGGCATTCTGCGAACTTTCCTCAGTTAAGCAAAGGGGGGCTGGGAGTAAGCTATGTTTCTCGGGATAAATTCCCGTAAGCAAGTGCGTGGTTACCCCCAAATGCTCGTTAAATGCTTATTAATTGCTTATTAAATGTTTACTGGCCATTATCAGCCGTTAATTAGAAGTTCATTAACCATCTGTTTTTGGGTGATTTGTTTTGGCGGTTATTTTGGTTATTTGACCCCCATGATTTAACAGATTGATTATATTTGAAGTGGCGTGAGATAATCATCAACGATATTCGACTTTTCCCATGTCAGACACCATTTCAAAAAGTTGTTTAAAAAAACACGGTTGTGTTACAGTATTGAGATTCGAGGGTCGCTGATTTTGTTTCTTAGTTTCTTGGTTTGAACTCCAGGCCAAAGGAAACTCGCAACGCTTGACGCCAGCCACTGCGTCGGCTCATTTGGGTCAGAACTTCGGTATGCCACGAGCCAGCTGTCGTCAATTTTGAGATGACCTAGGTTTTTAAAAAGGAAAACCAACCAATATACTTCAAAACTGCGAACAAAACATTGTAGGAAGAAACCTCACATGAAGCCCAAACAGGCCGTTAATAAGCTCCTAATAAGATGGCATTAAACCTTTCCAGTATGGTGGCCCTAGCCACCAGAACAATTCGAAGCGCCGAGTTGCTTTTCGTGTATCCAATGCTGCGAATCTCATCACCATCCAGCGGATCATCAGCACCAGGCTCCATTTGGAGCGCACTAGATGGAACGAACAAACAATTTGCATATCCATAACTGCAGAACCCATTGATCATTGTTTGTCTGGCGTGACTTGACAGGACAACATAATTCCCTGAAAATCCGTCACAAGAGAATGTGAAAGTGTTTGAACATATAATTCCCTTTCACTCAGCTTTGCTGCGGACGTCATATTGCGATACATGCAATGAGCAGCAACATCTCTGTGAATTTGTTGTTTATCTGGGGCAACAAAACAACTGAATCGCAACTTCTGTGCGCCTGAGAGACCATAAGCAACAAAAAATATGTTATTTTTTTTTGGGGGGGGGCTCCGCCTGAAACTCATGCATTGCGGTTTGAAGTTCCAACATTCATAGAGAGCTAACCCCCCCCCCTAGCCCCCCCCCCCTTCCCAGAAAACCACATTAAGGCCTTAATAAGGCCTTAATAAGGCCTTAACTAGGCCTTAATGTGGTGAAAAAAAATAAAGCCTAGTTAAGGCCAAATTAGCTTAATTCAGTCTTAATTTTGGTGACATTTGCCGTGTTTCATGTTTTTATTCAATTTCTCCAGTGTATTCCAAATTCTTTGGATGAAAATCCTGAATTTGGTCCTATTTGGTCCACTTCTCCCAATGTAGTCCGGTCTTTGGATGCATTTCATGACCTGGATGGGTGTAAGTTTGGTGGAAATATATTTCTTCATTTGGTGTACAATCCAGGCGGCGTATTTCCAATGTCTATCATGTCAAATTGATTGGAATTACGCTTACTTAGGTCCTTCGCATTGTATATGTATTTCAGAAATTTAAAATGTGCTTGCGCTTTTCCACCATTGGATCCTGAATTTGGTCTTAATATGGAAAATTGGATTTCCCATGGTTTTTTCCACCATTTGAGCCTTAATTAGGCCTTAATTAGGCCTTAATTGGGCCTTAATTAGGCCTTAATTTGGCCTTAATTTGGCCGTGTTTTCCCTGTGTTTTCCACCATTTGAGCCTTAATTAGGCCTTAATTAGGTAGGCCTTAATTTGGCCGTGTTTTCCCTGTGCTTTCCACCATTTGAGCCTTAATTAGGCCTTAATTAGGCCTTAATTGGGCCTTAATTAGGCCTTAATTTAGTCTTAATTTGGCCGTGTTTTCCCTGTGTTTTCCACCATTTGAGCCTTAATTAGGCCTTAATTAGGCCTTAATTGGGCCTTAATTAGGCCTTAATTAGATGAAAAACATTGCAAAAATAATGAAAACCAATGAAAACTGATGAAAAACATTGCAAAAACAATGAAAAAATAATGAAAAGGTTTGGCTCGAGGACTTCGACCCTGGCTCGAGGACTTCGACCCGTACAAGTCGTTTTTCCGCTAACGCGCGCGCGCGCGCGCGTTAGCGGAAAGACTGGCCCGAGGACTTCGACCCATCCACCCGGGGTACTACAACGGGGAAACACAACGGGGAACACAAAAAGGGAACACAACGGGAAAAAAATGGAAAAACGAAAAATGAAAAAAAAACATATCTATAAATTTTAATTTTATTCAAGTGCTTTAAAACAATGTATGTATATAAATCGAATGAAAAAAACGAAAATTTCAGATTTTTTTGGGAAATATTTTTTTTCATTTTTTTGATTTAGTTTATGGTAAAAATATGTTTTAAAACATATTTTTACCATAAACTAAATCAAAAAAATGAAAAAAAATATTTCCAAAAAAAATCTGAAATTTTCGTTTTTTCATTCGATTTATATACATACATTGTTTTAAAGCACTTGAATAAAATTAAAATTTATAGATATGATTTTTTTTTTCATTTTTCGTTTTTCCATTTTTTTCCCGTTGTGTTCCCTTTTTGTGTTCCCCGTTGTGTTTCCCCGTTGTAGTACCCCGGGTGGATGGGTCGAAGTCCTCGAGCCAGGGTCGAAGTCCTCGAGCCAAACCTTTTCATTATTTTTTCATTGTTTTTGCAATGTTTTTCATAAAATTGTGTTTTCCCTGTGTTTTCCACCATTTGAACCTTAATTAGGCCTTGATTAGGTCTTAATTGGGCCTTAATTAGGCCTTAATTAGGCTTTAATTTGGTCTTAATCATTTGAGCCTTAATTAGGCCTTAATTAGGAAAATTGTGTTTTCCCTGTGTTTTCCACCATTTGAGCCTTAATTAGGCCTTAATTAAGCCTTAATTGGGCCTTAATTAGGCCTTAATTTGGTCTTAATTTTGAAATTTTGATTTTCCCTGTGTTTTTCCACCATTTGAAGCTTAATTGGCCCTTAAATTTAGTCTTGGTTTGGAAAATTTGATTTTTCCTTGTGGTTTTTGTTCGTTGGGTTTAATCGGGTCTAATCTGGAAACTTGCGAACGTTGAAGCGTGAAAGTCAAAATAGTTGCTTGTTCGCTTCAGCGCAGTTCTTTATTCGTAACTTGGAAACGTTCAATTTCCTTTTTTTTGGTTAAAATCTTAATTTGATTTGGTGCGTTCCTCTGTTTGTTCAAAAATTCACTTGGGTCTTTGTTTGTACACATGTTTACTCTTTTGACCCAAGACAAAATTCTATGAATGTAGGAAAGACCCTTGAAAGCCAATTCAGTAATCCCATCAAAGAATTAAGGCCAAATTAAGCACTTTGAACCAAAAATTGGGGAAAACCACTCAACCCTTAATTTGACCTTAATTAAGGCCTACTATGGGGGGGGGTTAGGGGGGGGAGGGGTTAGCCTTCTGTGAAACATTCATTGGGGATCCAAAATATTTCAAAGTAAATGGATACGAATCGGAATTCTAGTTGCCTCCCCACGATGCGCCTCATAAAATAATGACAGGCCAAATCTTCAATTGCAAACCTTTTGCTCTCAAATCTTCCAAAGCAGAATCCCTTAATAACCAGCTAATAAGAAAGCATATGCCCATGTCTGTTTACGCACTGCGATTCCAACGCTCGAGCTCCAAAACGGAACTGAAACCCTTAATAAACAGCTAATAAGAAAACACCTGCCCGTGAGTGTTTGCGCGCTGTATTTCCAACGCGCGAGCTCCAAAATGGAAGAGAAACCTTTAATAACCATCTAATATCAAAACCACATGCTTGTGATTATTTGCGCGCCTTGTCTTCAGTGCGCGCCTCCAAACCGGAACCAAAAAACTTAATAACCTGCTATTAATTTTTGGTGCCACCTTGCAATCCGGGGGGGGCGCAACTGGGGGGGGCAGACAGGATTTTCATGATATCATGATCCCAGCTATAGATTCCCAAAAATTATTATAGGAAGGTTGACCCCCCCCCTATTAAAAAAAAAAAGAAAATTAGGGGGGTAATTACTATTAGGCAGCCAACATTAGTTGAAAATTCCTCCTCAAAAGAAGGGCGTTTACCAAGCTACCGACGCCGGTCAGCACTTTTGGGGCCGTTTCCTCAACTACCCATAGCTTAACGAACCCGCGAAGCAGTCGTGATCGGTCTGCCTGCTGACCACGCAGCTGCCGAAAGGACAAGGCACACTCCTGGACAGGAAAACGTGGTTTGTGTCAATAAACATGGGAATCCGTGATATAGATGGGTAACACCAATTAATAACGATTAACCAATATAATATACATATATACCCGTTGATGATAGCGTCTGTTGGTTTCTGAACTATATATGTAACGGAAACTCTTTGAGCTTTTATGAGCTATTGATATATCATCTACAGTTAAAGAGGCGAAAGCAAACCAAAATTTGACTGCGCTTGAAGGCTTCATGTTGAGTCACTGGGATGCTAAAGTATGCTATAGTAATATTACTCTTTCTTAGAAAAACACCGCACATGTGTTTCTGCATGCCTTGCCGGATATACATTTCTGTGTTTCGATAAAGTCACGGTTGTTGTTGATGCTGCTGCTGGTGGTGGTCAAGAAACTATTGTGGTGTTTTTTCTTCGTTGTTCGTGTTAACAATGTATACTTACAATTTCTTCTTGGATACAGTCGGCTAATTTGTCAGATCTTGAACAACGATTGCGCTGGTCAAATTGGTTCAATGACAATTCTCTTACAGTACTCGTAAATTCCGCTTGATCAAATCCCAGGAAGCCATTTTAACCGATTTTTAAATGTTTGAATGTGTTTTACTTAAATTCCACACTTAAAAAAGGTTTCCCTAGTGAAATCGGAGCCATTTTCCCGCTTCGGCACCTGGTCTCCAGCATCGCAGGCTTCTTCCAATGGCACTGTCAGGTCGTCCGACACGGCGAGATAAACCTGGCTATGTAAATGGGAAACATGGGAAACATATCGAGCTAAATGCATAATATAGAACTTACCAATTGAACTTACCAATCGAACAGAATTAAAGAGCCATGACGGGCGGCTGGGAAATCCCCAGACTAAATGGGCCTCGACTTTAAACCATGTATTTTCCAGCAAGCCACATTTGAATACCAAAAGGTAAGAGGGTTTAAATGGTGATAAATCGCCAACTGCAGTTACTGGGCGTTTACCTCTATTAAAATGACAAATTTCTGGTCTCTATATGCAACGTTGGGCATGATGCCAACCATTTTATCCACATATAATGGGGATGCAATGGGGAAATGGGGGTTGACTGGTTGACCAATGGGATTTAACCCATGTATAGAACCAGCAAGAACCTTTGATTTAACTAAGAGTTTATTGACATGATGGTTGCTAAGGTAACTGCCCCCCCAAAAAAACTTATACTTATATTGATTAATTATTGTAAGTCAGTAAAGCACCTGCAGCCATGTTTTGCCCAAAAATAGAAACACATGCTGAACTCGCCCTTCGCCCAAACAATGGCATGTAATAATATAACCATGATAATCATGATATAGATGCTAACATCCAACCGGAATCCAACCAATGAGAATCAACCAGAAAAAACGTGTGAGCGAGTTGCAACAAAAGTGAAGGCGTATATGAACATACGTATTTCTGTTTGCCTTCTTCTACTGCTTCAATTTGCTTTTTGAAATTGTAACCCAACATGGGTATCCGGCACAGTCCCACATCATCCACGCTATCATCATACACTAAAATCACTAAAAGGGCTGAACAAAATGGCTGCAACTGGGTGTTGTCTCGAAAATTGTGAACCCCCCATATCCCAGGCTTCATCATGTCTCACAGCAATAAAAAATATATATCAATACTACGGCGATTTCAAGGCATCCCTCACTTGAGACAACCCTGAAAAATGCTGTGGAAGTGCTGCCCCGAAGAACGGCACAAGAGTTTCAACCAGGCTGCTGAAGCCACGGTGCAAATCAGTCGCATCATGGCACTCAACACGAAAAACGCTGATAGAAAAGGTGGGTCAAAATAGCTTGAGCATAAAGGAACTCAAGCGTTGCGTGCGTGTTTGATCAGGGACTCGCAATCAAAGCCTGATCTCAAGGGGGATGTGGCCAGTCGAGTGTGGATACATATGGCCCATTGACCTTTAACTCTGGACATCAAACTAGCACTAAAAAATTGCAACCTCAAACTAGTCCCAGACCCTGGAAAGAAGAACGCACACTTTTTGGCGATATGCCGCAATATCACAGCCACCACAGGGGTGGTGCTCTATCTGAGATGAGACATGTGTCAAATCGAGCGGATAAAGGAGCTCAGAATCATGGCAGAAATCGCCTGAGCCAGGGATGCACCTGTGGTATTGTCATCATGGATTTCCAAGGGTCCAAGAGATACCCTCCACTAAGTGATGGATCAGCCACCATTCGGGTTTGCTTCGGGAGGTAACTGTTCTGGGGAAGGGATCCTTATAGGTTTTCCTGATTTGAGGCCCCTGGCATCAAAGCATCTTTATAGTTGGAAGGCAATCGCTGGGAAAACAGCCAGCAATAAACCTTTTGGTAGTTGGAAGGTACTTCATAGTTGTGACTCCTGCGCCATTAATCAGCTTGGGTCACGTCTTGCGTGGCTCCCGGCAGGCATTGGATAAATGTCTAGGGGATACACTAACCACTCTTGACCCACAAAAAAAAACGTGTTGGTTGGCACTTTCGCTCTTAGAACGGTGGCCCATGACCATCTCAAACACCCACAGGTCAGTCCAGACTCAGGATCGTGAGAATCAACTACAGTATATTTAGATGCTTTTTTCTACTGTACATCATCAAATCATGAGATATCACGAGGTACCCTGCAAAAAGCATATGTTTCTACCCCAAGTTAGGGGCAATTGGATCCCTCTTCCTGTCGTCGTGTTCCCCGGGGGTTCCGTGGTTTACCATTTTTTGAGTTGATGGGACCGAAACCTTGGATGAAAGATGATGCAATGCAATCTAACCAAGTCTTGATAAATAGAACGCTTAAAAAACAACAACATGTACTAGTGGTTCTGACACTGGCGCTATGGGGCCAAAGATTCATACAACAACCTGCATTAGGTCATTGAGCGTTCTTTCTCCTAACGTTTCCTGCGGTGATGTGAATGTGCTACACGTTGTGAGTTCCTGAAGCTGTTGCTAATTCAATTCCATTTTTGTCTTGGCGACATCCAGCGCCTCCATGTTTAATTGTTCAAGTCGTTCCTTCTACATTAGCATTTGGATACCTGTGATTTGATGACATGAAATCACCAGTAAGCAACTCATTAATCATTACTTGCTATATTGCAAAATCAGTCGAATCAGTTAAATCTCTTAGACCAAATACCCTTCAGTAATTGAACCTAGCCATGGAAAATTGCCCATGTGTAGATGAATTTGCCTATCAAACGGGCCATTTTCCATGGCTCTCGCCAATATGTGTCATCCAACAAATCCCTTAAATGTCCTTATAAGTCACTTTGAATCACCTTAAAATTCGCACCGAGTTTCTTCTCACGCAAATGGCGGTGGTTCGTCCTCGTCCTCAGCTCCTTCGGCCCCTTCGGGTTCCTCTGCATCTTTTGGCAGGTCGTGGGCGGTGTCAGCCAGGCCATCGGGAAAGAGGTCGTCCAGGCTATCGTCGTTGGCGACTTCCTGGACATTTTCGCTGGTGGATGGGATGATGATGGGATGAAACTTGAAACCCATGAATTTCTAGGGGTTTTCAGCATTTGTGGTGATTCAACGTGGTGCGATAAGTGATAGAATGGGAAGCATCAACTTTGGATTTGTTTGGGATGAAAATTGGAAGATCATGGGAAAAATGAAAAGGTTGATGATGCTTTCTGGGTTCAACCATCAACAACCAAGAACCAGGAAAAAATGCTTGCATGGGCCATCAAGTATTGTTTGACTATTGTTTGTTTGGGATGCAATCATGAACACCCAAAGGGGTTGTTTGATAAATTAATTCCCATCATCAACTTGCAGATTGTGTAATTCGTTCTCCCGCTATGGGCCATGATTTGGCCAACTTGCGATCGCAATACCCAAACATACTCGGTAGCAGTTAGCGAACTCCATCGCCTAAGGTTATTTATGAAGCAAAACCAGGCCGCTGGTCGTTTATGGAATCTGTATTTAAGAAAATAAAATGAAAAACATATCCTTTCTGAACAAATCATTGCCGAAACTAAGAAGCAAAGAGATGGACATTCACTTGGAGTTAGTCAACGGAGATAGTAACTGGACAACACACCCGCATCCAAAAATTGGCATGAGTTAACACATCTGCTATGAACCCAGTTACTTGCCACTGATCCCCGTACCTGTTGTTTAAGCGAAAAATGACAGGACACATGACATTCCAAGAGTAGATGGTAAACAACCAAAGGTTCAACCGTGGATTTTCCTTGAACCAAAACATTGATCATCAGTTTAGTGATTAAATCATACCTTCTTTTGAAAAGTTAAACCACAAGTCTTGAACCATTTTGATTCTTAAATCACACATTTTCCCACTCGAGTTGGTTCATTTGGGGACGACCAAATAGAATCAAGCCACATCAAATCACCATGTTTGCTCCTAGCATTTTTTCTGGTTAAATCACGATCGGTGCAAACATCACCCATTGATCGCATCCCCCGTTCATTAAAAAAACAACCCCCAAGAAACCATAGATGAAACCACATATGGGGACCCATTTACAGTGGTTCGGGTGTGTTTAGTATGAGGGGGATGGGTTTGATCCATATAAATCTGGTGAGCAAATCATTTTCAATGGTTTCCCCAAGAGAAATAACGCATATTCCCCATAGATTCCATAGCTTACTAATTTCTAGTGGATTTCCATCTGGAAAATAAAGACTCACCGACCAAACAAACCCAGATGAACCATTAACAATATCCCTATCCCATCGTATGAAGTACTACATGCTAGGTCTCCCTACAATGTTAGGCTTAGCTCATCAGTTCATCATAACTAACTATTCCACAGCTCCGCAACCAAGGGTATGGTGTTCATTGGTTCATAATTCTCTCATATTCCCACAGGCTAGTTGTCTATAGTTATATCTATCATAAACCATAGAAAATCATAGAAATCAGCCACTTTTCTATCACAACTGATTGCTATCGACTGGGGGCCCATGATCTTCCCATGATCTTCCCCATGTTTTCCGCTCCTCTTCGGCTTCCTGTGTGGCCGTGTGGTTCTCCGCTGTGAGTCGCTGGTCGCTGATGGGCTCATACTCCACGCCGGGCTTATACCTTGGCGAACCCCGTGGCCGCGTGGCTCCATGGAAGCCACTGGGGATATGATGGGAGATCATTGAAAATCACGTATAATATTATATCTCATCACAAAAATATAACTTGTATGCATAATTAAATCTATATAAGTGCATTTACTATAGCTACTATTTCAAACATTTTGTTGTAATAAATATATATATATATATATACATACATAATTATATATAATTATCTATCTATCTATCTATCTATCTATCTATCTATCTATCTATCTATCTATCTACAGCTTTGTTTAATATACCTAGAGCCTCCAAATACCAAAAAAGTCGTAAAAGCATTAAAAACATTCAGGGTACTTGGAGGGTCTAGGTATTCAGTTGTGGATCCAAATGCTACCTCAAAAGGTACGGCTGGATCCATATGGATAAGCATCAGGGGATCATGGCGATACATGTTGATCCACCTGGGCTGTTGGAGATAGGCTTCTGCTGGACAACTAAAACAAGATGCAGCCGACGAACCCGAATGCAGTCACGTAGAACACTTTTGTGAAACAAGTTCTTTGAACAGTCTATATACATGTTTCCCCTGTTACCGTACCAGTGCACTGTGGACTGTGGAATGCGGAAGAGGGTGGAGAGCAAGTGTGGAGTGTAGAGTGTAAAGTGTAGAGTTTTGAGTGTAAAGTGTGGAGTGTAAAGTGTAAAGTGCGGAGTGACGAGTGTAAAGTGTAGAGTGTAGAGTGCAAAGTGTAGGGTGTAAAGTGTAAAGTGTGGAGTGTAAAGTGTAAAATGTAAAGTGCGGAGTGTGGAGTGTAGAAAGTGGAGTGTGGAGTGTAAAGTGCGGAGTGTACAGTGTAGCATGTGGAGTGCTAAGTGTCAAGTCGAAAGTGTGTCGTAGAGTGTGGAGTGCAAAGTGTCAACTGCAAAGCCCGGAGTTTAAAGTGTGAAGTGTAGAGTGTACGGTGTAAAGTGTGGAGTGTAAACTGTGGAGTGTAAAGTGTAGAGTGTGGAGTGTAAAGTGTAGAGTGTAAAGTGTAGAGTGTAAAGTGTTGAGTCTAGAGTCTGAGTGTGGAGTGTGGAGTGTAAAGTGTTGAGTGTGGAGTGTACAGTGTAGAGTGTGGAGTGTGGACTGTAAAGTGCAGGGTGGAGTGTGAAGTGTGGAGTGTAGAGTGCGGAGCGTGGAGTGTAGAGCACGCAATGCGACACGTCTGAAGTGCTGCGCCTGCCATGCAAAATGACGGTGGAGGTCTTCAAAGTGCTGCACCTGCCACGAAAACTGCAACTCATCTTGTGAAAACGACGCGAAAGTAGTATTGCGCCTGCCACACAACACGGCTTTCGACTTTCGACATGTTATCAAACTAGGTTTGAATGTCATCAAGTGCCGTGCCTGCCACGCAAAACGACATGAGGACCTGCTTGGAAACCTTCGAAAAGGAGAGGTTTCCCCATAGACACGGCAAGGCCACAGGAAAACCAGAGACTCGAGACGAGACACGTGGGAGCATCAAAACGAGCTTTTCGTGCGAGACATCGTTCAATTTTCACACTTTGTAGCTTCAAAATCGATGTTTTCCTACGAGTTTTCTTATGAACCTCCAAATTTGCCTCAAAATCAATATTTCGTGCGAAGCTTCCGTCAATTTTCATCACATCTCACAAAATGCCACACCTGCCACGGAATTTACCACTTGACGCAGCCCTGACAATGCGATTCGCAAAAAACACGCAGCGCAACACGTCTAAAGTGCTGCGCCTGCCACCCAAAATGACGATGGACACGTCCAAAGTGCTGCCCCTGTCACGAAAACTACAACGCATCTTCTGAAAACGTCGAAAAAAAGTATTGCGCCTGCCACACAAAACGATTGTCCACACGTTACGACACACGTCTGAATGTCACGAAGTGCCACACCTGCCACGCGAAACGAAGCAACGCGGCGTTTCAAACCTCCAAAAAATACACCCTTTTGCAGAACTTACGGCCCTCACGCGGACGGTTGCGGACGGTTGCACAACGTCGACGAGCGATCACACCCTCAACCCCCAGACCTCCAGAGTGAAACGGGAACCCTTCCACGCATTCGGGAAAAAGTTTGTGGATGTATGGTGGGTTTAAGCACCAAAACAACGCAAATCTGGCCATCTAATGGGCTGCCGGGGGTCATGGGTTGGTGAGTTGTGCCGGCAGCTGTTTCTGTCCACCGGGGTAACTGGGTAACCATCAGCCACAGTGGTTTATTTCATGCACGGTTTATTTCAAGGATCCGAAAACAACATGAATTAGGGATAATTAGGGCTACCCCCATAGGAAACCTGTCAATGTTGTAACCAGGGTATAGCTACAAAGAGTGCACCTCGCTGCGCTCCCACGAAATCGAAGTTGAACAAAAAAATCTTAGGGGACCCTTCCTGTAAAAACAGTTTCTCCTTTTATTTTTTATGATGAATGATGAATATAATATTATATATATGATGAATTCTGATGTTTGATGCACCATGTCACTAACGTCTACATGTCACAATTTCTCCGGATCGCCCAAAGATGATCTTTCCACTACACATCGCCCAATGATTGACGCTGAAACACTTGGTGCCATCGTAGTACGTGATGTTGCCCGGGAGGCACCAAGCGCCTTTGCCAAGATTCATCCGCATGCTTTGATCGAGAATCTTAAGTATGGTTGATACAACAGTACTCGCCTTGTTTTTCAAAATTATTGTTGGTTTCAACGTGTCGAAATTATTCCTGCAAATTTTGTTGGTTGAGCCATGTTAATCGACATTTATTTGGTAGTTAATTTCTCTAATCTATGGTTAGATTCTGACCGAAGAGATGCCATAGAATGCCAAGAAGTTTATACCCAGCCGTTGTGCTGCAGCCAGAAAAGTTGCCAATTGCCTTCAAGTTCGGTAACATGCCGTGTGGGAAGTTCATCAGTCCAACAGATTTTCTTCATCAGCACCCGTGATGCCCTAAAAGGTGTCCTGCCAGTGCATGTGCTAAGCGAGAGCCTCCTTTGTGCCAATTTCCTGTCGGTACCTCGCATCATTGTGTGGAATGCCTTGCCTGTGATTTTCATGTGTATCCGGTATCCGTTACCAGATTTCCAAGCTGTCCGCTTCAGCGACGTTTGGCCGGGCCTTCGCAAGACAATAAGAATAGCAGCGGTATGATCATTGAATATCATTGAATTATTTCGCAAAATGAGTGCCCACCTTCTTTCCATCAGATGGGGCGGAATCTTGTAAGCTGTAAGCTGCAATGATTTCTGGTGACTTCAGGAGTCTCTTCGCGTCTTTTTTTATGTGATGGCAATAGGTGAAGCCGACTTGGTCAAGACGGTCTTCATCATATACTATACTATACTATACTATACTATACTCTACTCTACTCTACTCTACTCTACTCTACTCTACTCTACTCTACTCTACTCTACTCCTCCTCCTCCTCCTCCAATCTACTCCACCAGGAATTCCTGTCGGCGCCGACGGGCACCTTTGCAATTGGTGCAGTGCTTTTCGTTGAGGGCGCAGAAATCCCAACGCTCCGCAATGCCTCGGCCAGGGGCCGGGAAGGGGCAGTAAATTGGTATCGGCAAGATGGAACTCATAAGGTGTGGCTGGTGTGGCCCACAGTTTTTTAAGTTGGTTTAGAAACGCAATTAACTATATATAGTTACAGTATGTGTAAATAAATATCTATATCTATCTATCTATATATATATATATATCACACAAATCCGAAGGTCAATCAAGTGATGAACCAAGTTGGCCATTTAGGGGCCCCTACGTTGTAAGACCAAACTCAAAATTATTTGTTTTGTTTGGCCTTCCCCAACACTAGGATCACCAGCGACAGTTTGCAATGAGGAGCTCTACAATTTCAACCCTTCACTGACTTCGCCTGGTTCAAACCTGAACAAGTCAACTGCATCCAATGATATAACGATAGCAATAGCTTCATTTCAAACTCCTTTGAATATAATGTCGGTAAAACGATAATAAACCACCCATGTGGGAATGGTTTATAGAACCCATTTTTGATGATTTGGGGGATTGTTTATGGCATTGTTTTACCCACATTATCCAATTTCATAAATAATCCCCAGTCATGCATGGCCAAGCTGCCAGTCATGGGCTCGGCAGATTTGCATGGATCCTCTGGGTCCTTAAAAGCCTTCACCTTGGAATCGGGGCGAATCCGCAGCGTTGGGGTGCACAGTTGTGGGACTTACGTTGAGTTTTTGGCTAATGGGAGGCATTTTTTTAAAACATAATTATAAAATATATACATATATATATATATATACACATACACATTTCATTATTTACAAAACTATTGAGAATACATTGAAAACACAACAACAACTGTAATGAAACAACACAATTGCTTTGGTTGCAAATGCATAAACCCACACACTTGGATACACCCCGAAGGGAGAAGATGAAATGAGATTATATAAATGAGATGAAATGAGATGAAACGAGATGAAATGAAATCATGTCATGTTATGTTACCATGTCATGTCGGCAAGGGTCGTTTATGGCTTAGCCGCCTGGCCATATCCGAAATCAGAAATTTGCAGCTACGTTTTCACCCCCATGCTGTCCGGTCTTCGTTGGCCAGGACAGACAGTCATGGGTTCCTGGCCCCCTGCTGATACCCTTTGACTCAGGGCTTTGCACACACAGCAAGCCGCTGGGGCACGATTTTGCGAACAAAAAAGAATGTCCTCAATGTGGTTGTTTAAGGACTCAACATTATCTTTTGCTTGTTGCTGCGGGTAGCTGTGTTGTGCTGCCATGCAAATGCGGCTGTATGCTGCTGAAAGTTTGTACTGTTTCGATGCTGCTGCTGATACCCCCTTTGATTCAAGGCTTTCCGCAAACAGTAAGTCGTTGGGGCACGATTTTGTGAACGAGACAGACTGTCCACATTTTCATGGCAAAACCACCCTTCATTATTGCTGGTCTCATGTCAAATGGGCCAAACACAAGGGTGAAAGCAGAACAAGGTACAACATACAACTTGACTACTATGTTGAACCATGTATGTCTTTGTCTATCTCTTCCCCCCTGTGGTGGGGGGATGTGGTGGTGGATGGGGGGAAGAAGTGTATGTACGTTTGCCTGGGTGTCTGCAAGTAGGTGTAGATATAAATATCCACCCCTCCCCCAAATGTGTATGTATGTATGGTATAGTATCGTATAGTAAGGTATGGAATGGAATGGACTGGAATGGAATGTATGTATGTTGGTATGGTATGGTATCGTATGGTATGATATGATATGGAATGGAATGTGTGTCTGTCTGTCTGTATGTATGTATGTATGTATGTATGGAATGTAATGGAATGTAATGTAATGTAACGCAAAAGTAAATAAACATGTGAATGTACATGTAGATTGTGAATGTACATGTTAATGTAATGTGGCGTAGTGTATGTATGCACGTATGCATGGATGGATGTATGGTATGGTATGGGCTGGGCTGGGCAGGGCAGGGATGGGATGCGGGTGGGATGGGATGTAGATATGTATGGAATGGATGTATGTATGTACATACGTATGTATGTATGTATGTATCTATGTATGTATGTATGTAAATATGTATGCATGCATGTATGTATGTATGTATCTATGTATCTATGTATCTATGTATGCATGTATGCATGTATGTATGTATGTACATGTGTATGTTTGTATGTACGTATGTATGTATGTATGCATGTATGTATGTATGCATGTATGTACGTACGTATGTATGCATGTAATGTAGTGTAATGTAATGTCATTCAATGCAATAGTAAACAAAAATTAAATGTACATGTAGATGTGAACGCACATGGTAATGTAATGTGGCGTAATGTATGTATGCACGTATGCATGGATGGATGTATGGTATGGTATGGTATAGGCTGGGCAGGGAAGGGCAGGGATGGAATGGGATGGGGTGGGATGGGATGTAGGTATGTATGTATGTAAATATGCATGCATGCATGTATGTATGTATGTGTGTGTGTGTGTCCACGCCTGTCTCTAAGGTTTTCACGTTTTTATTCTGCAAGGGTGGCTGAAAGCCAAAAGGACCTTGAGTCTTTGACTGGCGAAGTCAGCGAAATGGAGAAGCAAGTTCAGCTTGCAGGTGAATCTAGAAAGAAGGAAAATGACAAGTTTTCACGTTTTTATTTTGCAGGGGGCGCAAGAACATTTGGTGCGTCTTGCGCCAACGAAGACACTCACCATTGGTTGTGCAAACGTACCTGCAGGCACGCCATGGGCACCGTCGTGTGCAGCTTGGGTGCCAACACAAACATCAATTTTTTAACCCGGTAAGCTTAGCTCACAGACTAAGCGATGCCTTTGCTGCCATTACAAATGGACAACAGACACTAAAGAACGAAATGTCAAACATGACTTCTCAAGTGTGTTCTCGGCGGAGAGATCTGTCACAGTCCCGTTGTGATCCTGGGAGGCCAGGCCTCTTGAAAGTTCCTATTTGAAACCAGTATTTGAAACGCCATGTCTATGGCTCAAGAAAATGACATAGCCGGTGCTCCGGCTTGGAGACATTTCATGTGTTAGAACCCTGTTTTCGGACAGGCCTTCCGAAGTTTACTTCATTGCTTTGAGATGAAACCAGCACTTGAAACCTGCATTTGAATTTCGAACTTGCTGAAACATGATCCTTAGATCATATGAAACGACCAAGTTCCTGGATGTGTCTCTGTGTGCCATTTTGGCTCAAGCAAAAGTTTGCTCTGCAGTTTCCTGGCTTCGTGCCTTCATGTGTGTGTCCACGCCTGTCTCTAAGGTTTTCACGTTTTTATTCTGCAGGGGTGGCTGAAAGCCAAAAGGACCTTGAGTCTTTGACTGGCGAAGTCAGCGAAATGGAGAAGCAAGTTCAGCTTGCAGGTGAATCTAGAAAGAAGGAAAATGACAAGTTTTCACGTTTTTATTTTGCAGGGGGCGCAAGAACCTTTGGTGCGTCTTGCACCATCGAAGACACTCACCATTGGTTGTGTAAACGTACCTGCAGGCACGCCATGGGCACCGTCGTGTGCAGCTTGGGTGCCAACACAAACATCAATTTTTAAACCCGGTAAGCTTAGCTCACAGACTAAGCGATGCCTTTGCTGCCATTACAAATGGACAACAGACACTAAAGAACGAAATGTCAAACATGACTTCTCAAGTGTGTGTGTGTGTGTATGTATGTATGCATGTATGCATGTATATGTGTGTAAATGTGAGTGTGTTTATGTGTGTTTGTGTATGCACGTGGGTAGGCAGGTATGTACGAAGCTGTGCATGCATGCAAGTAAGCACTGGTGTGTGTGTGTGTATCTAGGTAGGTATCTATGTATGTATGAATGCATGTGTACATGTATGTGTGAAGGTAGGTGTGCAAGTAGGCAGGTTGGTAAGAATGGATGTAGGTGGGTATTATGTATGTAGGTAGGCAGGTATGTATGTAGGTAAGAATGTATGTAGGTAGGTATGCATGCATGTGTCTTTGTATGTATGTGGGATGGTGGGGCATGTATGTGTGAAGGTAGGTATGTAAGTAGGTAGGTTGGTAAGAATGGATGTAGGTAGGTATGTATGTCTAAATGTAGGCATGTATGTTTGTAGGTAGGCAGGTATGTATGTAGGTAGGAATGTATGTAGGTAAGTATGCATGTATGTGTCTTTGTATGTATGTGGGTGGGGGGGATACTACCATGGGGGTGGTGTGTGGCCGGGGGACTGGATCATGTATATATAATTATATATATATGTATATACACATGTAATGATTGTGTCTAATTATTGTGTCTAACAAATGGCAGTTCAGCGACTGACGTGGGAATGTTGATTCCCAACCGCGTCTCCACGGGGCGAACTCCCAGAGGATGCAGAAATCTATGGCGTGTGGTTTTGATGCGATGTCAACCATGCCAGCCATGCCAACCATGTGGCACCCAGAGATATTCAAATCTGTCATCTTGAGCATTGACCACTTAACCTTTTATTTTTGGTAATATGAAGCCGTCATACCTATCTGTGAGTCAGCTATAGTCAGATATCATCCAGCATGTTCACTATAAAAGGCTCAAAAACATAATGCAACCTAGGGCTAATGAACCCCAGTTGATCAGTATTAGATGTCCTCAATATAGTGATAAGTCTGCATCGCTGTTTGGTAACCCTCCATATTGATAAACTGGCCGGCCCCATAAACCGTCCCCAAGTGCAGCTTCATGGCATTGGCTTTTCCACACTACCTCTTTCCCATTGTCAAGCCATGGTGCAAACACGCTAACGATTCATGATCACAACAGTGTATACATATATATATATGTATATATATGTATATATATATATATAAAGTCATGTTATGTTTGTGGCAATCATGATGCAAAGAAGAGTTGTATATATATATACATACACCTTTTCAAAAAACAAAAATGTATATATATATATATATATAGGTATATATATATGTAAACACGTTTTTGAATATATATATATATACATATATATATATATATATGTATATATGTATATAAATAAAATTGTTAAAAATATTATATATATATATCTAAATATATACCAGCAAAAATCAGCTGTCATTAAAGGCTTTGGCTTCTCACCCCGCCAGGCCACACACTTAGGTCCTGCCGCAGGGCACCAGGTGCCACCGCAGCCGCTGCAGCGGCTCTTCACCGAGCAGGTCGTGTCTTTGGCGATGTCCGCGCAGGTGCCGCAGGTGTCGTTCTGGAAATGGCCCCCCCACAATTATTTTGAGCATCGTGCTGCATTTTTGAAAATATTAAAGATATGCATGTATATATACAAATATTTAATGTTCATGTGTAAATAAAGCAACAAATAAAACAAGTTAAAACATAAACAAATATATATATATATATTTACATGTTTGAATATATATTTAAAGAAAAGTCGCGATTCACTGCCTTTTTTCCTAATGATTTTTGGCTCCGGACGGTCGAAAAGTAGGCTTGCTAAAGCGGCGGGTGCGGAGCCATCTGGACAGGTGAGAGATGAACATGTACGAACGGTGTCAGCTTCGGAACACTTTTAGGAATTGAGATGTTCAGTGACGCGAAGCACATTTCGAAGTCAAAATGTGCAAAAAAAACAATGTTCGGAGCACTTTTGGCCGTTCAAACAGCAGCAGCAACGACAACAACAACAACAACGACAACAACAACAACAACGACAACAACAACAACAACTACTACTACTACTACTGCTGCTACTTCTGCTACTACTACTACTACTTCTACTTCTACTACTACTACTACTACCAATACTACCACTACTACCAATACTACTACTACTACTACTACTACCACTACCACTACCACTACCACTACCACTACCACTACCACTACTACTACTACTACTACCAATACTACTACTACTACTACTACTACTACTACTACGACTACTACGACTACTGCGACTACTACGACTACTGCTACTACTACTACACCTACACCTACAACACCTACAACACCTACAACACCTACAACA